CGGTCAAATATGACCAATCTGTCATATTTGTCAACTAAATCAGATGATCGCCGCAGTTACAGATCACGGCTTCAACAGCTATTTATGTTTTTCTACCTATTCATTATTATTCATTTTTTATCATCTTTAATTTTAAAAAACTACAATTACTACTTTTATTATTTCTGATGCTTAACCTTACTTTCAAAATTGCTGATTTTTTACTTTAGTTTTACTTATTCAATCTTATTTTTACAAAATCTATAATCTACATTTTATTAAAGTATAGCTTACTTAAGAATTCATCTTAATGAAAAAAGGAAGTCAAACAACTTGCAAAATTAGATTACCCACTTTCACCCTTATTCTCATCTTATTTAGACCTAATTACTCATTATTATTTATGAAATTATCCATACTTTTGTTATTGCATTATTTTATTAAAGATCTCTATTACTCATTGTATTTTATCAATATTATTAACCTTTTATATTTAAAGGATATCACTTTTTAAAGGTCAATTGAAATGTAATAACATTTATTCTCAATGATAATGAATTGTAATATGCTATTTCATACATTATATATGAAAAGTAAAATTAAAATTCTTATTAGAATTACTACCTACACTCGAGATACTAAAAGTAAGATTACCAAATCTTTACAAATAAGAATAGATATTAAATAGTAAATAAATACTTCAATCACCTGTAAACTTATTTTTCTTTATTACAATCGATTTCATAATTATTAAATTAGCAAAATCAGAATTTCTACTACAAGTTAACTAATTTTACAAATTCAATTTAGATAATAATCTAAAACTTTAACATATATTATCTGCCTTCATTTGGAATTCCTAATTCAATTTCTTAAACTTCTGCTTTATTAACATAATCAAAGATATTATTTCTGCAGATTTTTTAATAGTATTTATGATATTATTAGCAATATTGATCTAATCAATACATTTATCTTATATATATGCAATTACATATTTGATTTGATAAACATTCTATAGAATTAATCATTAAAACAGAAGAGCTTACTAATATTCAGATCTTAAATAAATGATCTAATTGGATAATCAGTAGTTTTTTATACTTATCACCACCATTTACAGCCACTTTCTTTTATTTATTTTCTTCTTTAAATATGGTAACTCTTGGTCAAATTTTAGATAGGTAGTAATCAAGTTTCTTGTTTTAGATGGTTGAGTTTTTTCTCTTTCTTTAAAAGGTTATTAGTATAGAATAGTGCAAGAATGACTTTGATTTAAATTAATTTAGATTAAAATAAATAGAAGTTTTTGTATTTCCTTTTTTTATCTTATAATTTTATATAATTTTAAAGATCATGTGAAGTTATCGTATTTTAATATAAAATATACTCAAAATAGATAATAAGTCTGAAAACCTCATTTTTTTTAGCTTACATCTCATATTATAAAATTTACTAAAATTTATTATTTTAAATAAAATTTTATTTTATTAAATATATATAAAATTTAATTTTTAATTTTTTAAATTTAAGTATTTAAAATTTAATATATATAATTTAAATATTTTATATAATATAAAAAAAACAACATATTTTATAAAAAAAATACTTTATTAAATATTTAAACTTAATACAAAAAATTACTAATTATATAAATTTAATTAAAAGGTATTAATTTATATAAATAAAATTAACAAGTAAAAAATATTATTTACTTTTTAATTTGAATTTATATTTAATTTTACAATAAAATTATTTTATAAATATTTATTATCTAATACTAACTTTATATTAGAATTTTGTATAATATTATAATATTTATAGAATAATATCTAAAAATATTATATTATATCATGAAATAATATTATATGATCTTTATAATATAAGAAGAGTTTGGATAATTTTAATTATAAGATTTTGTTAAATAGTTATCTAAAAATTAATTATATTTTATAAAAGCAATTAATAGTTATGAAGTATTTTAAAAATAATAAATTTTGATTATTTTAAATACTATTGACAAATCTAAAATCAATTTAAAATATATTTTTTAAAATATAAATTTACGAATCAAGATTTTTATTATTTATCATAAGATTGGTTTTATTATATACTTAATTTATGCAATTATTATTAAAATTTGTGCGAAAATATATTGATTTATTAAGAATGTATTATTAAAAAGTTTAGATTTATGTTAAATTATAATTTAAAAGTAGTAAGATTATGTTTCTAATAAAATATATATTATATAAAATAAAAATTGTAAAATATTGGTTTTGCTAGCTTTGTTAAATCATCAACGATGAATGCAACTTCAGCAAAAATGATAACGGTTTTAGACCAAGAAACCTCTATTATATATTATTTTAATTCTAAGAGAATATTTCAACAAAATCTTTTGTTTATTATATTAAAATTTTAATTATGAAATGTTTACAGTTTAGTTTTTACCTTCGATCGAACCGAACCGTTATCTATATATATAATATCCGTTAATATATTAATTAAAGTTATATAAATATTCAAGATTATATAAAATTTAATAAATAATTATATAAAAGTTTTCGACTTTTTCTTTTTATCAGGGAGCATTTCGTTTACTTTCATTAAGGATAAATGTAAACGCATTGCAAGTCTAAATAAAAAAAGTATGTTAATAAACGTTTCACCTCAAATTAAAAAGATGATTAATAATGATAACATACCTAAATTCAAATTCATATCCATTGAAATTAGCAGCTTCCTCCCATGCTAATTTAGCCTTTTCTAAATTACCTTTTAAAAACGCAGCTACTCCCATTTCCCAATAGGCAAATGGCTTAATAAACTTATCTTCGACAATGTCGTCATCATGATCAAATATCCAATTGAAGCATTGATTAGCCTCTGGAAATTTATGAAGCTGGTTCAATATAGAACCCTTGATAAGGCGAAGCATACATTGTGAATCAATTATATTTTGTTTGTCGATCTTACTTATAGATTCTAATTTTGAATTAACTATATCTAAACAACGGAACAAATCTTCATTTTTCATACACGCAAAACTGTTCCATATAAGTAGGATTTCCAAACCCGGTAATAATGTATTTTCAAAATTTTTTGCAATATAGTTTTTTGTTTTACGAGTGACATACTGTTCCACAAGTATAGTGCGACCACCAAATTTTCGTACAGATAGGTTTGGAACATCTACATATAAATATATGGCCTCCTTCTTCTTCCCTTGCATCTCTAGACAAGCTGCTTGAAAGTACCGGAAAAATGCAGGACTCCAATAATTCTCAGTTGCAAGTATATCAAAACATTCCACAGCCTTTTCCCATTGTAAAGTCATTGCATAGTTCATTCCAAGTTCATAGTCACATAGACGTCTTAATTCAACACCAAATCCCTCTTTCAGGTTATGATTTACTGATATGAATGCTTCGGTAGACGCGTCTAGATCACGTTTAAGCCGAAGATTACGACCAGCGAAAAAGGTGAAGAAGTCGGAACCAGGAAATTGGTTCAAAGCATCCTTAATATACTCTTCGGCTTTTGGTATCTATATATATTCAAATATCATTAAATCTGTAACAATTTAATATATAAATAAATTTCAATTATAACTATTAAAACTACAAAATTCGTGTTATATTGGTTGAATTCAATACATTATCTTGGCCCAAAGTAGATGGCGAAAAAGAAGTCAACATTGTATATGATGTAACAAATCTGTGATTTAACAAGAAAATTTATAAATTTATCATAACAATATGAAATAAATATACATTTAATTATATTAATTATCTTACAAGAGAGATGCCAATGGCGATCTAATTCCTCTTCCTTTTAAGGACGCGTTCAATAATTCTAAAGCCAATTCTTTATTCCCCTTATAACCTATAGCGGATATAATTTTGATGATTTTTCCGGGCATCAAAGAAAGTACAAGATTACACGTTCCGTAACTAACATGGTTCAGAATAGAAAATTAAAATATTATCAATACAACCGCTATTTATGTTTGATTTTTTTTAAAAAGGAGAGAGATCCGCTCATAAATATTAGATCAAAACATGACAAAAACTTACCCAAATTCTACACCTCCTTTAGTATGGTAATCGACAGGTACATTGAAACCAGGTTTGTTAATTTCATTCCACACAATTTCATAGTTTTTATAACCTATTAATAAAATAACAATAAAATATCAGAATATATATATATATATCTATTTATTATTTATTTAAAAAAAACAATAGTTTACCTCGTCTTAAATTCAATCCTGCTTTTACATAACTAACGATACTTTCTTGAAGTAACTGAATAAGAGCTATCAATAATATCGATTCAGCTTTAATAACAGTACTTCTTAACTGTCCATTTGACATAAATTGTTGATTTTTATTATTATTTCCAAAGTAACTTAAACTGGATATAAGTTTTCCAAAACTCGATCCTATGCTTAATTGTGATTTAAAGGCTCCTATTTGTGCGCTAGCTAAGGATTCCGCAGAAACAAGTTGTTTAATTGCTATAGCAATATCTTGCTCGTTAAAAGTCGTTACCGCTAAAAGAATGAAACAATGTTAAGAATGAAACGAATTATAACTAATTTAAATTAGATGATATCGATATCAGCTTACCTTTTAAAAATGAAATACATCCCTGACCTAGAGCATATAAGGGATCGATATCAGCTTTTTCAGCAAAGATTTCTTGTGCTTCTGTGTATCGATTTCCAAAGAAAGCTTGAACCTATGCAAGATAGGAAAAAAAAATTGAAACGATCCAAAATAATCAAAAGAATTAAAATTTTGAAATAACATGTTTCATACCCCTTGCCACATTCTCTCATCTAAATATTGAAACAAAAATTTAATTTATGTATGAAAATTTACAATAGACTTTTATTATAGAAAAATACCTTCTTTTTCTTGTTCACTCGCAGACAACGTATTGAGTTTAACATTGTTCAAGTTAACATCAGCAGTATCTTGATCGTCCAAATCGTCGTAGTCTATATTGCTGGAAATTGAAAAATAACTTGGGTTTTTTGGGTCCATGGGTAAGAACTAAAAAATAAAATTCGTTTTAAAAAAGAGAGAGAGAGAGAGAGAGAAAAGTGACAAAGCATGTAAACCAAAATTCTGTGGTGGGATGGGTCATAATTGCATTGCATAATGTGCGGGATATTCATCGAACTTGCCTATTTAAAATAACGTGTTATTTGTTTTTTGATCTTTTTGATTTCTAGAATCTAAAATCAATATTACGTAACGCAATCTCAGTGATCCAACCGATTTTTTTAACTGATGAAAATTATAAATAGACCCAACATGAGATTGCACAAAAAAGTTAACCCGAAATAAAATAAATTAACTTCATTCGTAACATAGCAGTTCAATTCCTAATACAGTAAGAAATTGTGTAATGGAGACTTAAAAGAATGTACTTTATCTAAATAAAGACTTGGAAAATTGAATCTATGAAATTTTAATTAACGATATAACTTTATACATCATTGGTAAATATTACTGTTTCTAATACTAATTATTAATAGTCAGTTTGTATCCGTGAACAGTTGACCTGACAATTTCACTTCCAGGATCTTTATCAAACATAACATTCATAATCTTTTCAAAGACTTTATCAACTTTCCATTTTAAACGTTTCGCTTCCTCAAAAAATTCCATGTCCTTATGTGCTAAATATGGTCGATGATGAGTAAAAAAAACCAATATCTGCCCATTAATGGGCTCAAGACATTCTTCACACGTTTTTAAAAGTGCTTTATGTTGAGAATGATTAAATATCAGATCAGATAATATTATGAGATCATATAAATTTGATGATATCGTATTTCGTAAGGGACTCGTATCTTTGCCCCAAATGTATCCCTAAAGATATTATATACTGTATACTTAAAAATAGATCATTAAATATATTTATCAGTTAACCGTGAAATAACATAATTACCAAAATATTTATATTATTCGTTGTGCTCAAATTCGTAATTACATTATATCGAATATTCTCTATCAAATCATTGTCCGGATAATCTGTAATAACAACCTTTTTGGTAAAAAAAAAAAAAAAAATTTAAAATCATTGAAACGATAGCATCTCGCGCATTCCAATTCATTCCTTTTTTAAATTACCCTTTCCGCTCCATTTACAGCCGCTATTAATGAAGGTAAGGCCCCGCCTGCGCCAAGTTCCAAAACTCTTTTTCCTTTTACCATTTCTTTATGTTCATCTAAATACCATGCAAAACTTTTGCCCGCATTCCATAATAGATGTGCCCATAATGGATGTGATCCAACTAAACGTATACTAAAAGTTTTCTGACTATCTATTCATGAACAAAATGTTTGAGTGCATATTATGTGAGTATTCACTTGAAAAATTTTAATTTATACCAGATTGTAATAAATTTTCATCTTTGCGTGAAAATGTTTGAAAAGTTGGTTGTGGAGGTGGAGGTAAATATCCCTCAGGCTCCTTATTATTATATCAAAATGAAGTTATTTTGAATTATTAATTATTAAAGTAATAAACAACAAATACAACATCAATTTTAATAATAAAAAAACCTTGAAAATTGAAAAGTCTTGTTCTTCTAATTGTAAATGCTCTTCGGAATTATCGAACATTATGAACAATATTTAAAAAAAATGGCGTGTCTGTATTCTGACATTTTTGATGAAAATCCTAATGGTCACACCCAGCGTTTTGACCACTTCCCTCCAGGGCCGATGATATTCGGCATATAATTTCAAAAATTCACAGGGTTCGATAATGAATTCAATTTTTTTCTAATAACGCGTTGGCTATATTTAGTTATCAATTTCAAGCTGTTGCAGTTTCTTTATATAATTCACTTTTAGATTCTAACCGTCAAAATTTATCCGAAGAATCATTTTAAATTTTAAAATGCATCTAAAAATTTGCTGATCACAAAATTTTTTATCACTCACAAATAGGGATGTGTTAGTCCTGGCAAAACCGGTCCGCAAATCGGTTAATGAACCGGTCCACATGGTCTTCGGTCCGTGAT